GGATCGACTGTTGATATCTGAGTTTGTTTGATGGCACAAGGAAACATTAGAATACCTTTTGTGGGATGATTGGGTACTTGAGGTGTGATATGTATTCATACGGCACAATTTGGGATCAGGTATAGTGATTTGTGTGCTATATGGAGTTAGAGACTAGGAGTTCTCGTGTTCAGGCTATGCAGTTGTTGTAAATCGTGTGTATCGGCACCGTCTAGCGGTTATTGGGAATTAGAGGTCCGAGTGGATCTTTCTTTGCCTGGTATGCCATATTTTGGATATGATATTGGATTGTAGGCTGGTTGTCTCAGTGTTGGGTTATTCTAGACTATTGTGCTACGGGCTAGGCCGGAAATGCCACGGGTTGAGCGGCAAGGTGCATTGGATTATGTTCTTGCAGAGTGGTATATATTTCAAAAGATGCAGCGGACGACTGAGAAGGATTGCTTTTCTTAATGGGGCATTCGTGATGGATGTCAGTGCAAAGGTTTCTACCATTGATTCAGTTCCGGTATTGATGACTTTTCGGATGCATTTTATTGTGGCCGAGTGCCGGGTGAGATGGCAGATTTTGGTATCTATTTGGTGCCGGGCACCGTATCGTACGGCTCTGGCAGGAGTTATAGTAGTGGAAGGAGCAGCTTCAGGCTTCATGGTATTGAGTTCGTTGGCAGGCCAATGTGGCTACATATTTAGCTTGAGTTAGCTTGGTTAGTCTTGAGTTGTATTGATGAGGGATAGGTTGATTCGATCGTTATTGAGCTTGTTAGTGATCTGGGGAGATCTATGAGTTGCTTTTTCTGTGCTGTGAGGCGTTATGACTTGTTGGTTATGGGCACACGTGGTGCAGATCTATTGGGGATTCATAGTGGAAGTCGAGCGGGAAGAGTAATCGGATGTTGCTCGGTAAATGGAGTGTGGGTTATGACCTATCAGGTGGCGTGTCGTATGTTGTTTATTTCACCGTGGGTGCAATGAATTGCCTTGGTTTCAGACATCAAATTGTGTGTGGCTGTCGAATTTTGATCACAGTGTCTTGAGGTGCTCCATGTGTAACAGTGTTCGGATAGGATCGCGCATTGTAGCGAGGCTGCGTTGAGTTATGACCTTTCGGGGTAGATTCAAGTGTTCTATTTCTATGATATGAGACGGGGTCTCAGCCTTATGTTGTGATGATACTGATGAGCTTGAAGTACAGCTCTTTTGTTTGAGTTATTTTCCTGATTTGAGTATATTCAGGTCGTTTCTTGTTGGTACGCGTATTATGCAAGTTATGGCTTAGGCCTGTATTGAGGTATCATATCACCAGAGTGGTGTGTTGGATTCGAGGTGATCCTTAGAGTCATTAATGAATACGAACGGAATTGATTGCAGCTTGTTAGAGAGATAATATCAAGGTATGGCCCGGAAATCTGTTGTGATATTAGTCAAAGGGAAGTGGCTTCATGAATGGTTGATTTGAGGAATGGTTACGGTTTATCGCGTGTTTCATTTGTTATTGGCAGTATATGGAAGTGTTGGAATAAGACTTTAGCTAATAAAAGGTTTTCTATCGGTATTTGGTTATTATGGGCAACTGCTGTAAATAGAGGCTATCGTTTCGAGTGTTTGGATTATGTGGTATATCATATGATTTCACCTGAGGTTGCAAGTATGGGTTATTACAGCTGGTACGGGTTTATTCTGGGTATAGATGTGAGGTTCTGATATTGTGTATGATTTCGGAAAGTGCAATGTGGTTCTATGGTTTATGGTTTAAATGGACGGTGAGATTTCGGCTATATTGTGTTGTCCTATATGAGATAGGGTGGCGTGAGATCACCCCGGGTATATGTTTGGTAAAGTTATTCAGCTGTTGGTTAGCTTCTAGGACAACTCTGGGTACGCTCGAGGACGAGCGTTGGTTTAAGTTGGGGAGGATGTGACGACCCGACCCGTCGTCTCATGTATTACAGCCCCGTTTCCCCCATTTACTGCTTCTTCATGTTTCATTATCAGCAACGAGTGAGTTATAGTTGAATTGAATTGGTTTGGATAGGAAATGAGACACTTAGTCTCTTTAAGGAAGGATTAAGTTGGAAAGGTCAACCGGATGTTGACTTATGAGTTAGAAGGCTCGGATGTGATTTCCGGTGATTCGGTTAGCTTCGGGGGATGATTTGTGACTTGGGAGTGCGATCGGAATTGATTTTGGAGGCTCGGTGTAGAATTAGGCTTGAATTGGCGAGGTTAGTATTTTGGCGAATTCCGATGGATGGGTGAGAATTTGATCCGGGGGTCGGAATGGAATTCCGAGAGTTGTTGTAGCTTCGTTAAGTGATTTTGGATATGTGTGCAAATTTTCAGGTCATTCGGACATCGTTTGGTCAGGTTTTTGATCGAATGCGTGTTTCGGAAGTTTTTAAAGAATTTAGGCTTGGATTTGATGTAATTTGATGGTTTTAGCGTTGTTTGACGTGTTTTGATGATTGGAACAAGTTTGAATGACGTTTAGGGATGCATTGGTACTTTTGGTTGAGGTCCCGGGAGCCTCGGGGTGAGTTCGGATGGTTAAACGGAGAGTTTTGGAATTTGCATATTGCTGAAGCCTGCTGCAGCTGGTATATTCGCTTCTGCGAGTCTTGGACCGCAGAAGCGGACACGCTTAAGCGATGGATTTACCGCAGAAGCAGTGAAGAGGCCTGGGCGCTGGTTCCGCAGAAGCGGGTGAGCGATCACAGAAGCGGTCCTTGAGGGCTTGGCAATTTTCGCAGAAGCGAGAGGCAGTCCGCAAAAGCGGACATCGCAGGAGCGGTTTGCGACCGCAGAAGTGGTCTTGGGGATTTTAAGTTAGACCGCAGAAGCGGGAACCGCAGGTGCGGCATATTAACCGCAGAAGCGGAAAAATGGTCTGGGTTTAAGTGAACAGTGGTTCAAGAATTTGAAAGAGAAGAAAAATATTTCGGACTTCGGCTTAAGCGGTTTCTTGGGCGATTTTGAAGAGAATTCGAAGGGGCTTCATCAGGTATGAACTATTGGACTCGGATTATGTTTATATAGTGTAAAATCATGGATTGAACACTGAAATTTAAGGGATTAAATGCTAAAAATGGAGGTTAGGGCTTGAAACTTAAGAGAGCTTAAATTGATGATTTGAGGGGTCAAATGGACTCCGATTCTTGTGAGTTTGATATGTATAGACTCGTGGCGAGATAAGGATCGTTTTGATGTAAAGTTTTCTGGATTTTGAGAAGTGGGCCCAGGGCTCGGGTTTTGCTAATTTCGCGATTTTCGATATTTTTTGAGTCTTTTCGATTGGGTTATGTTTCTTTGGCACATTGTAACGTATTCGTTGTGGTTTTGTCCAGATTCGACGCGCGAGGAGGTCAATTCGAGAGGAAAGGGCATTGCGAGCTAGTCTTCGGCCGGCTAGAGGTGAGTAATAGATGTAGATGATGACCTGAGGGTTTGAAAACCCGGTATATCACATTGTGATGCTATATTGAGGCGAGACACGTACTCTATGACGAGTGCGGGGTCGATTGTGACTGGGGATTGTGACCTAGTCCGTTCCGATTGATATTCATACTGTGTTCTTGACTAGAAATTGTTTGGTAATCATCCTACTTGGATTTTATGAATATGTTTGGGGCTTTGTGCCTATCATTTGCATCCTTCAGGGATCCTTATCACTGCTTCCATGATGCTTAGCATATTTCATGATATCAGTCCTGAGTTAGACACTGCCTCGAAATGTTTAGTAAATAAATAAAGGTTTAAACACTTAGCTCTATAATTCCTAATAATTGAAACTAAAAATGAACAATTTGACTGTGCCCGAGTGGCTTGCATGCATATATATATCTGGATTGAGTGTGGATCGGGCTGCACGCCGCAGCGAATGCTACGATGATATTGTGTTTGGGCTGTAGGAGCCCCTCCGGAGTCTGAACCCCCACAGTGAGCGCGGGTACCCAAATGGATCGGGCTGCGCGCCGCAGCGGTCATGTGCATTGCATTGCATTCATGCATTTATACCTATTTGTCTTACTTGTCCTGGTATTGTTGTTGTTCCACCGTTTTATGTGCTGAATCGCTGATTATAGCTGTATATTGTAATATTTCGAAATTTTTTACTTTCAGCCATTATATATGTTTATTACTCACTGAGTTGTAAGTACTCACTTTACTCCATGCACCTCGCGTGCAGTTGCAGGTATTGTTCACCCGGTAGCGGGTTATTAGCTGATTGAAGGTATTACTATTGTAGCTGAGTAAGGTGACCGCCAGCGTTTGCGGCACCGGATGTTGTCTTTAGAATTCTAGAATTTATTTTTTGTATAATATTGGCCCAGTAGTTGTAATCAGTTTCCTTAGATGCTCGTGACTTGTGACACCCCGGTCGGGTAGTAATTAACAGTTTCTAATGCCATTAAGTTGTATCTTCTTTTCATTTATGTTTAAAAATTGTTAGTGAAAGGATTTGGGTTAGTTGGTTGGCCTTGTCTTCACGAGAGGCGCCATCACGACCGGGTATGGGAATTGGGTCGTGACAAATATCCTCTGCTTTTTCCAAATGGAAAGGTTGGCTGGCACCAAGGAATACACAAATATAAATCAAAAAGAGGTGCAAGCACATCTGAAGTTGCCAATGTAAACCAGAATGTCCCAACATACACGTCCGCTAATGAGGTGTTTCACAAAGAGGAGCAAGGTAAAATATTGCAATTAAATTACGTATTACTTTAGTTTTCTTATTTGAATATTACCTACACTAACAGATATGACTTATTTTTGTAGGTGTACGTCGTGAATCTAAATCATGCGTGTCTTGTAGAGAGTATTATTGCTACAAATTTCAAATACGCAAAGGAGAAAAGACAATACTACTATTGTGCGGACGGTTATTGCAGCAATTTGTGGTTGACATGTACATCAAGTTAGAAACAACAAGACTTGAATTCTTTAGATTAGAGCAAGCACTACTTAGAAGGGAAATATTGCAAGGTATAGTTGATAGTATCATGGCTGGAGAATATAGAGGAGATAAAGTTAGCCAAAGAGTAATATTGTCGGTATCATTTATCGGAGGCCCTAGAGATATGCGCCGTAGGTATATGGATGCAATGGCTTTGGTTCAACGTTTTGGAAAACCAGATTTATTTATCACAATGACATGTATTCCCGATTGGCCGGAGATCCAGGAAAATCTATGCGAAGGACAACTTGCACAAGATAGACCAGACTTAGTGACTAGAGTTTTTAGGGCAAAATTAAAGGATTTAAAGGATCAGATTTTCAAGAAAAAAATATTTGGTCCTGTTGCGGCACATGTCTTCGTGGTTGAATTCCAAAAAAGAGGCCTACCACACATACACCTTTTGATAATACTTGAACAAGGGTACAAGATAACATCAGCAGACCAATATGACAAGTTTATTTCTGCGGAACTTCCTAATGAAGAAGAATATCCACTCTTGCATGACTTAGTTGTCAAGCATATGATGCATGGTCCATGTGAAAAATATCGTCCAACAAATTCATGCATGAAGGATGGTCAGTGCAAGAATCACTATCCTAGGCCATTTAGTAATAAATCAATACAAGGAAAGGATGGATACCCTATTTATAAGAGAAGAAATGATGGAAAGACCGTAAATGTTCGTGGCACGAGAATGAATAATCAGTGGGTTTTGCCATATAATCCTTACTTACTAACTAGATACAATTGTCATATTAATGTGGAGTCTTGCTCTGGAGTGAAAGCAATCAAGTATCTCTACAAGTATATATATAAAGGGCATGATAGGTGTGCTGTTTATATTGAATCAGATGATGGCGAAAAAGTAGTTGATGAAATCCAAAATTTTCAAGACGCACGTTGGGTGTCTCCGCCAGAAGCACTATGAAGAATTTATGAATTCAATCTCAGTGAAATGCAACCTCCTGTCATTAACCTTCAACTACATCTCCCGGATAGACAAACAGGTAAATATTTATCTCCAACAAGGTTAATTAAAACTTTTGATGAAATAACTAACTATACAAGTTTCTGTGAAATGTCAATACACATTGTGCTATTGGAGCAAGCAAAATTTGCAAAATGTGATTACGTGGGAATATGCGACGCTAACCATGCTCACGGAGTTTTTTCGGACATGCTCGAGGGATACTGAAGCACGTCAATACCTATACAAAGAATTTCCAGAGTATTATGTGTGGAACTCACAGGGAAAGATATGGACAAAAAGAAAAACAAGATCAGTTATTGGTCGAATTGCTACTGGTAAGATGATCTATCTATTCTCTTTCAGATAAATAAGATATTTTATAAGCACCTCATAAGATATTAATCCTAGAGTCAGTATTCCATTACTGACTAAAAAAGAGCTACTTGAAACCATGAACGCAAATTATATTCTAATCCCATCAAGAAAATAAAAATTTAATGAAATACATAATAAACGCAAGATTAAAGATAATAAAATATGCAAATATATAAGCATATGCATGCAATAAGAATGTGAATAACAACTTACTGCTTTTTCAATAGGTATACCAAAGCGAGATTCCTGCACAAATGTTTTAGCTTTAGAAGATAAGAAATTCATGTAGTACTCTGGAAAAAATATTCGAAGCTCTGCAAAATGAAATATCCCATGTAGGTATATCAAATGATTTTTTAAAATCATTTATTCAATCCTAGATGTCATGATAACATCATCAATTTAGACTCCGTGCAAAATAGGGAAACAAAGTTGGCGTAGACTGAGATGGAGGCGTGGAGTTCTTTGTGTATGAACTGGGATGCCATGTGACTCTAATACTCATACAAATAAAGATGATATGGGAAAGACTACGGACTGTTATTGATGAAATTAATAATTTGAAACAATGTTAGTGCTGAAAAATATATACAAATGTGTATAATGCAAAATTATCAAAAACTATTTGCACTTGTCTACAGCAAAGTTAGAAGCTGGTGTTATACGTTTCTTGATAAACATATTTCAATTCTTATCGGCTAAGAATATTCTAAGGCTTCAACAAGAATTCAGAATCCAACATGTTTAAATAACGACACTTCTTTTAAGTAAAGAAGGAATATGTTTTGGCATCATTCATTGACTTGGCTACATTATACTGACAGTCTGCACCCTGCTGTATTTTATCTGGATACATGATAATGATTAGTCTTAACAGTTAATATAGAATTTTACTCAATGTTACATCTAATCCTAGAGAAGGCGAAAGGTATTATTTGAGATTATTGTTGAATCACGTCAGAGGACCCTTATCGTTTAAAGACTTGCTAACTGTTAATGGAAGAGAGTGTGAAACATTCAAAGAAGCTGCAAAGGAAAGAGGTTTATTAGAATCAGACAACAGTATATCAGAATGCTTACGTGAAGCGGTCCTCTTCAAAATGCCATCAGCGCTGAGAAATTTATTTGCAACAATTTTGGTTCATTGTAATCCAACGGACATTAGGAAGCTCTGGGAAACCTATTACGAAGATATGTCAGAAGATTTTAGAAAAATACATGACAATTCTCCTGCTGCTCAACTCCAATGCACGTTGAAGAGCATCAATTATTTCTTAGAGAGCATGGGCAAGAAAATTGGCAAGTATGACCTACCTAAACTTGATCATGGGAGGGATAATGGTAATGTATCGGAATGCAGAGAAATAATTGAAGAAAGGTCTATAAATGTATCGCCCGAAGATTTTGATGCACAATCAAAACTAAATTCTGAACAAGAACAAGCTTTCAAGACTATATTAGAGAGAGTCGACTCTGGCAGAGCGGGGTTATTCTTTGTGGATGGACCTGGAGGAACTGGAAAAACATTCCTATATCGTGCATTGCTTGCAAATCTCAGATCAAGAGGCATGATAGCTTTAGCAACGGCAACAAGTGGTGTAGCAGCTGCAATTTTACCCGGAGGTCGTACAACTCACTCTAGATTCGACATCCCTCTTCAGACAACTGATACAACGATCACAAATATGTCAAAACAGAGTGGTGGTGCTAAATTGATAAGAAAATCAAAGCTAATAATTTGGGATGAAGCACCTATGGCCAATCGTCAGACGATTGAAACTGTTGATAGGAGCATCAGAGATATAATGGATATTAATGAACCCTTTGGTGGAAAAGTGATGGTCTTCGGAGGTGATTTTCGTCAAGTACTACCAGTAGTTCCAAAATCTACCAGAGCTGAAACAATAAATGCAAGCTTGGTAAAATCATATTTGTGGAATAAAATGGAAAAGATTCAATTAACAAGAAATATGAGGGCAAGAGCAGATCCAACATTCAGCGATTTCTTACTACGGATCGGTAATGGAGAGGAACCTACAATAAGAGATGATATGGTCCTTCTTCCAGAAAAATTGATCGTCAAACATGATGCAGATAGTACTGGTGAAGATAATTTAATAAGAGAAATATTTCCATCTCTAGATGAAATGCCAAGTTGTGCAAAATACATGACAGAAAGGGCTATCTTGGCTAGCAGAAATGAGTATGTTGATCAACTAAATGAGATGCTAATTGCTAAGTTTCCTGGTGAAAGCAGAACTTTTTTGAGTTTTGACTCCGCAGAGGATGATACCAACAACTACTACCAGGAAGAGTACTTAAATACTTTAACACCAAGTGGTCTTCCACCACACAGGTTTGTGTCAAATTGCTATTCTCTATCTTTCTGTGAATTCATTGTGTACATGACAATATTAAAAGAATCTCTCAATATGTTTTTAATTGAGATAAATTTATTAAACTTACCGTAATCCTATTATGTATACTCATGCAAATTCATCTTATACAATTTTTCCTTCAGAGTTTTACACAAAAGTTGCATCTGTTCCTTTTAGTTCTAAGAGTACTCAGTTCTATTATTGAAGTCAATATTCGAAACTTATAGCAAATGTAACATTCAGGATAGACCAAAAAACAGTAGATCATTCTGAGAATTGGGAATTATATTAATATATACTATTACATACAGTAGCTTCATCTTTACAATCTACAATTGCAGATTTATTTGGATATTTTAGAGATTACAGGTAATTATTTTTTGTGTGAATGGTGTTTTTTTTTTTGGATTTTTCTATAATTTCTAAAATATTCTGTTTGTTACATTCTACGTAACTGTCAAGGAAATAAAGACAAAGTAACATACTTCATCCTTAGACTAGGAGCGATGTTAAGAATCTATACTGTTGGGTCTTCATTTAATGATGTGGTAATAATATTATTGGGTTTTGGAGGAGGAGCTGATAGTTTTCTGCTGGTTGAGAGGGTAGTGGAAGGGAAAATTATCATGATTGCAACAACTACTGTATGAAGAGAAGATGGAATTAGTTTAGCCATTAATGATTAGCTAAGCGAGGAATTTTGAAAGAAACTTTACTATATATTTTTACTCTTCACGCATGTTTATTGTATATATATAGGAGACAAGGCTTCCTAATTACAGTTTATTTTTATATTCCCTTGTTTGATCACTTAGCTAATCATAGGAGACAAGGCTGGTTGAGAGGGTAGTCGGATAATAAAGGCAGAATAGCCTAGGAGACCATTGTATTTATTCCGGTTTGTCATCCCGGTTCTTGTAATTCACAAAGTTTCATCTGGACACTTATAGTGATCAAAATATACTACTTTAAACCCCTCTGACAGTTGACTGAATATACGTGGCAATTTGATGGCTGAGGTGGACAAAATGTGTGTATTTCACGCGTATAACAAGCGTGAGTTTGAATATTAAAACGAAAAATAATTAAAACATTAAGAAAGAATATTTTAAAATAAAAGAAAAAGACAAGAGAAAAAGTAAGAAAAGAAAATTAGACAAAACCCAAAAATTAAAAACTCCAGTTCGCTGAATCCCCGTCGTTCTCCTCCTCATCGTCTGCCTCCCTCTCTCAAAAAGTAAATAAAGGATAAATATCACTTAGATCTAAAAACACAGATATTCTGTTCTCAGAACAAAAAAAAGGTTTGGTCTTTCATAAACTAAATACCGCAATTCATTCACAACTGTTTCTCCCAAAACCATATCCAAATATACATGCATGTTTTCAGTTAATTAAACCAAAATGCAAAAGCAAACCGTTCCAATCTGAATGCTTTTAGCATCTGGAACTTCGTTTTGGCAATCTATGAATATTCAATAATTTTTGTAAATTACACCATTTCAGTTAATTGCTTTGAGCCTTAAAATCGAGTCTATTATGTCTAAATCATAAATTGCTTGAGTTTTAGTAATCTCTTGAAAGAGAAATCATTGGTGGAGGCTGGAGGGTGGCGGTGATGGGGTTGGGTGGAAAAGAAAGAAATGAAAAAGATGAAGAGGGAGGAGGAAAGAGAAAATGGAGTGAATACTAAGTTTTTTTTTAAAGAGTTTTCATTACGAAAAAAATGTAATAAGTAAAAATTATGTGGCATTAATTTTATCTGATGTGGACATCAATCTAGTGTGATTAAGCAACATGCGGGGTCAAAAGGGCTTAAAATTGTATATTTTAATAATTATAAGTGTTCAGATGAAACTTTGTGGATTACAAGGACCGGGATGACAAATCGGAATAAGTACAATGGTCTCCTAGGCTATTCTGCCGATAATAAATTATGTCTCTTTCTCTGTCATCTTCCTTGTGCGCCTTTTTTATACTCAAAATTAAGCAGAAAAAATGGACATCAAGGGTGAATAATTCTAATTATCTTGGTAGCTTGCAAAGCAACTAAAGAAATTAAAAAAGAAAAAAGAAAAGAACAGAAAGAGGATTATGAAATCATTTGGATGATAACCCGAACTTCTGCTTGTTATGTTTAAAGAGATTATTTGTTGTTTGACAGGTTGGTTTTAAAGAAAAATGCTCCGATCATGTTATTAAGAAATTTGGACCCGGCAAATGGCTTATGTAATGGTACAAGAATGATATGTAGAGGCTTTGACAACAACGTCATCCATGCAGAAATAATGATGGGCGAAAATGCTTCCAAACATGTGTTTATTCCCAGAATTCAACTTTCGCCTCCAGAAAATGAAGGTTGCCCTTTCAAATTCATCAGAAAATTTTCAGTACGGCTATGCTTTTCGATGACAATAAATAAAGCACAAGGACAAACAATACCTAATGTGGGATTGTACTTACCGCAACACGTATTCTCACATGGACAACTATATGTTGCACTCTCAAGGGGAATATCTATGTCAACAACAAAGGTTTTGGTCTTGACCGAGCAGCCGAAGCGAAAAAAAGGAACATATACCAAGAACATCGTCTATAAAGAGATATTAGGTAAGATTCACCACCATAACATAGCATATATCATAGAAACATAATTGCATTATGATCTTTTGTTATTCTTCAAGCAATATTTTCTTTTTTATGAAACTTCTTCAACTGTACACAATTTAATTATACATATTATACATGAATTTTACATATATTACAACTATATAATTATATTTATTTTTACAGATTCTGAACTGTTTCGCTGAATGCATCGACAATACTGTTATATTTTAGAGGTGTCCTCCTCTTACCAGTATCAACTGAAGCAACATTCTTCATGGCGCACATCAACATTGTTCAACAGATGACATTAAGAGGGTAGCAACAGTCTGACTAATGGTTCCAGCAACATCACCACACCTATGCTTCATTGTAACACTTAATTTAGTGTCTACACGCTCAATACAACTATTTCTTTAATGTAATAACGTCTTTTGCATCCTCAAATGCTATTACACTTAATTCATTCTTATTCAATTTAATATGCACTATTTTAGAGAGTTTACCATTTAAATATTTGTTGTATCATCAATTACCTTTATACTTAATTCATTCTTATTCTACCTAATTAAAATACGTTCTTTTGTGCATAACGCATAATACACGTGCAACGCACGTACACTAAATCTAGTACTATATTAAAAGCACGAAGGCCCTTAGCGAAATGTCCTTCGCCTTTTTACCCTTTAAAAATAGAGTCCATACTAGACAAAATAGTTATTTAATTATTCTCCTAATATTTAATGCTTTGAAATCGACTAAAATATTGGTTATTAAATCTTTTCTCATTTGAACTAGGCAAGAAATCCTAAAATTTAGGACTTTAAAATCAATCGGAATTTTACCTTACATAAATCTGGTTCTTATTTGAACTATATATGTTACATAACTATATAATTCTTGTATGTTACTTTTCATGGGAGAAGAGTGAATTAACGTGTGTTTTTAATGAAACTAAAGTAACTAATTGATCCAAACAATTTTATGGCTAATATTTAAGAGGGCACGTAAAAGATTGTGCACGTAAGTCAAACTTTTGATTAAAGAAAAAATGGAACATTAATGATAATTCATATTGAGGACATAGAACTTGAAGTATGCTCAAATATTTTGTCCACTTAATTGTCTAAATATTAAGAAATAATTATGATAAATTTTTTTAAATGGTACAAAAATTGATCAATATATATTTTGTATAAAGAAGTAAGAGAATAGGAAAAGGAAGTACTTCAGAAAAAATTCATAAGTAAAATATTAACAATCGAGCAAAAAAATTATATGAACTATTAATAATAATCGAGTCCGGATGCTTGTGTGATTACTATGGTATCAATTGTCACGACCCGGATTTCCCACCCTCGGGAGTCGTGATGGCGCCTACTATTAGGAGCTAGGCAAGCCAGTTATTTATTATCTCTTTTAGCAAACCTCGACATTATAAAAAAAAACAACGAAACATTTAATAGAAAAGCGGAAGTCTTAAATATAAATAAACTGAAAGCAATCCGGAAGTTCAATACAACTCTACCCAAGAACTGGAGTCACATACTCACGAACTTCTAAGATTTACTAAATACAATAGACTGAAAGAAGTCATAATCTGTTTGTTTCGTACAAGGGATAACAAACTGAAATAGAGATAGAGGAGACTTCGGGCCTGCGGACGTCAGCAAGGCTACCTCAGTGTCTCTGGACTGAAGGTCTACTCCCAATCTACTGCTGCTGTCCAAAAGCTGCTCCGGCACCGTGATCTGTGCAAAAAGATGCACAGAGTGTAGCATCAGCACAACCGACCCCATGTGTTGGTAAGTGCCTGGCCTAACCCCGGCGAAGTAGTGACGAGGCTATACCGGACTACCAAACAAACCTGTGCAATTCAATATATATGTATGCAATATAAAGGGATACGGAAATTAACCAGTCAAGGGGGTGGGGGAGCATGTTGTAGGTGCTGTAACAGTTCAGGTATAAAATCAATAATTAAGGAATGAAATAGTACGACTACAATATCAACGAGAGTAGGAAATCAACAGTTGCACGGCACCATCCTTCGTGCTTTTACTCTCATTCTCACCCAAACAATCATATAAAGTGCACGGCATCACCCTTCGTGATTTACCTCACAAAATGATGGCACAAAATGATCCTTCGTGCACAAACACTCATATCATGGCACGGAATGTTCCTTCGTGCATTAGTAATCATATCATGGCACGGAATGTTCCTTCGTGCATTAGTAATCATATCATGGCACGGAATGTTCCTTCGTGCATTAGTATTCATATCACAATCGTGCATGGCATCACCCTTCGTGCTTTATCACTCGTCCTCACCCAAACAACAATCACAAACAATGGGGCGAGGGAATAGACAAACAAAATAGGAATCCCGACAAGGGAACAATAACAACAATGTCAATATCCCGGCAAGGGAGAAAAGTCTACCAAACAGCAAAATATCCCGGCAAGGGAATAACTGATAACTCATTAGCTTTCTTTCATTTCTTACTTCACATCTCACTTTATCACTTGAGCCAATACTCCCAAGAATTTTATAATCTCAGATACCTCTTCAATTGGTATCACAACCAAGCCAAAACACCACGAAAATCAAATGATTATAATGTTTTTCACATGTTCTTTACAATATTTAGAAACCCTCAATTAACATGGAATTCACAACAAAATCATGATAATCACCCTTTAAGGACTCACGGTCATGCTAGATACCAATGTATAGATACACGTCACCATGCCTATACATCGTACTCGATCAATTAGCAAATAGCAAACAAGACTCAACTCCTATTCCCTCAAGCTAGGGTTAAACCAAACACTTACCTCAACTTCCACAGCTAAATCAATCCACAACGACCGCCTTCCCTCTCGAATTCGGCTCCAACTCAATCAAATCTATGAAATAACGACTTTACAACATTAATATAAGCTAAACAAATCAAACCCAATGCCTAAATATAGTTTTCTAAGCTTTCTTCCCAAAATTCCAAAAATCGATCCCGGGCCCGCTTGGTCAAAACCCGAGGTTCGAACCAATTTCATATCACCCATTCCCCCACGAGCCCGAATATACAATTTGTTTTCAAATCCGACCCCAAAACGAGGTCTAAATCAAAGAAAATTGAAAAGCCCTAATTCAACCCAATTCCCCCAATTTTCACCCTAATCTATGTGATTTAAGCTTAGAATTTCAGTAATTAATGAAGAAAAATGAAGAAAATAAGTGGGGATTTACTAACCCAAGTGGTCTGGAAGAATAGGGGCTTCAATAGACTCCTAGAAGCTTGGGGAAGAAGAGAGCTCGTGAGAATTAGAGTTAAACCCGTAGTTACTGTATTGAACATTTTAAAAAAAATCACTGGGCAAAATTGCCCTTCGCGTTCGCGATAGGAGGGTCGCATTCGCGAAGGGTATCACTGGAAAGGCCATCGCGTTCGCGAGCTAAGGGGGTGCGAACGCGAAGAGTAAAAGCTGGGAATTCAGAATTTGTTCTATGCGAACGCGAGGGAGCTAATGCGAACGCGATGAAGGAATTTGTAAGGCTACGCGTTCGCGAGGGGCTGTACGCGAAAGCGGAGAGGAAAAATTTGGCCAAGCCCCCTGGGTCAAATAACCCTATGCGTCCGCGATGGGGGGTAATGCGAACGCGATGAAGGACCAACTCAAGGCATCGCGAACGCGGAAGAGGCGTCGCGAACGCGAAGAAGGAATTATCTGCAACAGCTGAAACCCATTTTCTGCAACTTATTAAGTTCAAAACCACCCCGAACACCTCTGAAAACACTCCCGAGCCTCTGGGGCTCCTAACCAAACACACACACTAACTCAACGACATCCTACGAACTTACCCGCGCGATCAAATCGCCAAGATAACATCAAACTCAATGAATTAAACCTCAAAATTATCACTTTTTCATCAAACTTAATAAACTTTCATTTTTAAAGATTTAGGTCCGAAACACGTCAAATGACGCCCGATTTCAATCAAATTTCACAGAAAGCGCTTAAACCACATATAAGACCTGTACCGGGCACCGGAACCAAAATATGGGCCCGATACCAACACATTCTAATCAATTTTTGTTTCAAATTTCCATATTAATTTCAGAAAAATAATTTCACAGAAAAATTCATTTCTCGGGCTCTAGACCGCGGAATTCGACTCCGGGCATATGCCCGAGTCTCATATTTTTCTACGGACCCCCCGGGACCGTCCAATCACGGGTCCAGGTCCGTCTACCCAAAATGTTGACCAAAGTCAACTTTAATCATATTAATACCAAAATTCATCATTTTTCACACAGAATTCATATTTAAGCTTTCCGGCTACACGCCCGGACTGCGCACGCAAATCGAGACAACTAAAAATGAGGTTTTCAAGGCCTCGGAAGCACGGAATGAATGAGAAAACAGGTGATGACCCTTTGGATCGTCACATCAACAGAATAAGGCTATAACTTTAGCAGTATCGTAAAATGAGTAAAATATTTTTACAGTTGTTGGTAAACTATCTCAAAGCAAATTTTGTAATTAGTAACGTAAAATATATATGCAATGCACGTATTTAAGTCCTCAGGTAAAGTTGAACGATATTTTTAACTTTCAATCAAACGCTACTCCTGTGACTTTTTTGACAACTAGTCTTAGGATAGGCGCGTTACGCGTGAACCTTGGCTCGAGAAATACAAAATTAATTTATAAAAATCATACATAATACACATTATAAAACTATGAAGCTGAGATGATTGTTGATTTTATTTAACTAACTCAATGAAGGAAAAAGCATTGCCCCCTAAAAGTCCTCAAAATCTTAAAATTTTAGTTAATCATAAATTATTATTAATTATAATTATGATTTATCCAACATGAAAAGCATTTATGAAGGGTAAGAAGATCATCAGTATTTCGTATTAGATTTTGTGCTTTTATAATATAGTAAATATGTATACAGATATTAATAGATAGATATATTATACTCATATATCAAAAAAAAATTAGAGCAAATGTAGATCCTCAAATTCATTTCATTA